ATGAATTTGATTGTTTGGAAATTTCACATCCCATTGGTTTTAAATAATAAATTATGTATAATTATTTTTTTATTTGCTTCCTTGCAATCAAGTGATAATATTATTTGATATAATATTTTAATGGTTCGAGATTTTTATTTAAAATTTTATAGAATTCTTTTATTTCAAAAGTTTATTAAATTGTTATGAAGATCGTTGCCTCTTTAAATTGCAAAAATTATTTCAACTTTATTTTTATTCATGTTTAATTATTTATTGTTGGGACGTTATTCACTGAAAAATTATTTTGATCTCAGATTCATTAGTTAATATTGATTCTACTGCCGACCTCTGAAGGGCATATGGCTATATGGGATGAAAATTTTATTTGGTATAGTTACTTCTTGATGTAAATATTTAAGATTCATGTATTTTAGCTTAGAAGTAAGATTAGTTGCTCCACATAAACTATAGTTAGAGTTTTATTTTAATATTGATTGATATAATGTTTAGGAAATTTTTTGTTTTGTAAAATTTTTGAGAAATCCTATTTATGAAGGAGATTCTGTCGAAATTTCTACAAAAATGTTGAAACTTTGTTATGACAATTAATAACAAAAGTTTTAAAATTCTCATATAATCTGATTAATTTTTTTGAAAATAAAAATGAATTTTCATTTTAAGGCTTATGGGAATGTGCGATGTAGTTCGCACCCGTGCCGGTCACCCCCTATTTTGGGGCGTGACATATGAAGTGCTAGCCCCGTGTGCAGACCAACACACATAGAACAGAGGGATGGATATTCGTGATCATCGTACTCACGCTTGTTTTGTGGGTTTCATGCCTGTACTTGTTTCGTGACTTTTAGCCACGCTTGTTGGTGACTTATTCTCATGGATTGTGTGTCCACGCTTATTAGTTATTTACCCTCAAGAATTGTGTGTCCACACTTATTAATCGTTCTAATTAAGTTTCATTGAAAAAGGAATTTTAAAACTTATTTTCTTTGAATTTGATCTCAAAAAGCAAACTGTTATTTTTATTATATATGAATTTTATATTGAACGATAAATATATCCTAAGATGTTTAGGTATGTGTGGAAATCTTTAAAAAAATAATAACATAAATAAAAGGAAAGGAAATTTAAACTTCTAATAATTTTAATTTGGATTTATATATTCATGGTTCATACATTTATCTAAATTGTCTAAATTTTAATGCAAAAGCACAACTTTTTGGTAAAAATCATTTTCAAAATTGTCTAAATTTCATTTTAATAGTTACAAACTTGTGGAAACATGTTGGACATGTTAAATAGGACTAGGAGTATCTAATAGAATATTCAAATGATAGAAAAATGTCTTATATCAAAATTTGATTACCTGGGTGTTATTTTTCAAAATGGACCATAAGCCCTTAAAATGCACAAATCACACAAGAGAGGTCAAAAACCAATACAAACATCATATCTCATATAAATATACATGCTAAACATTTCACTTAGCTTAGAGATCCCTGCGGCATCCATGCACCCGCTCTCTCTATCCAAGGTGTATATTCACTCATAGTACACAATTCGCAATACAACCACTTTACAATTGCATGTAGAATCACACATTTTCATATATATACCAAAATAAATATTTTCTTGTAGTGGAAACTTGATCTACCAAATTAATCTATCAAAACCACACATTATAACTAAGTTTCCTAATAACAAGTATACAAGCAGACAAAAGTTCATACAAAGGCATACAATCCACACATATTCACACACATATATATAATCACTTTCTACTGGTACTCTATTTCTAAATACATTACAATAAATTTGCTCGAAAGAAAGGGGTTACAGTTTTTTACTATCACGTCCCAAAAATTGGGTGTAGCTAATAGAGGATATTCATAGAAACTAGCATACCTTAAACCTTAACTTGAGAAATTTCTAAGTGTAAATTGTGAATATATTTGACATAAGATTAGATTTTACCAATACACACATACACACAAACAAACAAAATTTTTAATACTTTTGTAAAAATTATGACAAAACCTCTCTATTAAATAAGATCTCCCAACCCATTTCAATAGAAAATCTAGCACAACAACTACAAGGAGCTCTACTCCTTTCAGTCGATAAACAAATAATAGTTAATCAAGATGAGAATCTTAACTATAGTCTATGTGGAGCACCTAGTCATCTTTTCAAAATGAAATACATAAACTTTATAGTTACATATAATGGAGATAATAATGTTCCAATAAATCTCCATCCAACACAACTATAAGCCCCGCAGAGGTCAGCAGGAAGTACAACACCACTTAATGGATTTGAGACCAACAACAAATTTCCAATGAATAAAGTCCCAATTTACAATTGTAGGAGTTAATGGAAATATCATTAAAGAATCAATTATAAACTAAATAGAATAATCAATTGAAATAATATAAACACATATTTCATAGATCAATAGTCATGAAGATATATAAACCTTGAATTTATAAATTTAAAAAAATGATTAGAAATTCAAATTCCACTTTTAATGTTAAAGATATGCTTTAAACACTAGAGAATTATGGAGATAATTATAAAAATCCATATAAAGTAGAAAGGACCATTTGCTTTACAAAAAAATTGGAATTTTAAGAAAAATAATATTCAAAACTCATTCTTTAATAGGACTTTATTAGAATGATTAACAAGCGTGGACACAAAGTTTATGAGGGTAAGTAACCAACGAGCATGGATACACAGTCCATAAGGGTAGTAACCAAGCACAGCAAAAGCCACGAAACAAGTGTGATTACAATACTCACGAGTATTCATCCTTCCGTTCCACGTGCATTGGCCTGTGCACGGGATTAGCACCTCTTACAAACACCCAGCTAGCTAGGTGTATCATGGCGCGTTAAGGGCTAACAGAACTGCCGTTAACAACTAGCATTTTGATTTGGTCCCATATTTTAAATCAAGCATGCAGGGGTCAATAAAACCAATATACTATCTCTTTTCAACATTTCTCATCATATTCAGCATAAATGAATTCATCTGTATATTACCCATGTATGAATCATGATAGTTAAATCGTTCTTTAAACATAAAATCAACATTTCCAATATGGCAAATACTTTCAAATGTTCAATTGAAAGATAAATCCAACATGTTCTATATGATATAATATAATAAAAACATTTCCATGTGTGACTATTGATAATAAAATTAAGATTATGAACCAAAATAATTAATTAATTAATTACATAAATAAACAAATTAAAACGCTATTATGTGTTCTTGTAGAAATAAAAGGGTCACATAAATAATAGAGATGGCACATGAATATGCTAAATTAATATATTTATGAAAATGAATTTTCCAATGAGTCAGTAGGGTGCTATTCACTTACTTGCTAAGTTCTCAAATCTCGAAGATTTATTCCATTCAACTCCTATTAAGTTCCTCTTCTTCTAAACATACTATAAAATATATTAAGATTTTAATAGATTTTCTGCCAGTTCAATAAATTCCCTTTCAACTGCAACACAGCCATAATCAATCTAAATAATGCAAAAGTTTTCCCTAACATCACCATTTATATCATAAAGTTTCTTCATAATATCTTAGGCAAAGCTAATTAAGTTGTTGCTGGAACTCGGAGGGATTATTTTATTTTGGAAGATAAACCTTAACACAAAATTCAAGTTTATATAATGTATGCATACGAATTAAGCCATTGTTCTTTTTTTTAAAAAAATATTTATTTTGCAAGACTTAAAGTCTACCAATGATCTTAACATAACAACGACTCCCACCACCAATGCCCTCTTATGGATTCAAGTGCAAAGTAGGGAGAACATCAATATTTTGTCCCAAAAATCCTTTAGAACAAGAAAATTAAAGAGACCATACCATTGAAACAATATCAACATTTATCAATAATCATTTATGTTGCAAAGCATAAGGTCAACTAAAAGCCAAAATTTAGATTATATGAAGAACTACAAGACAATTATTTGCTCAGTATTTTGGTTCAAAATTTTATTAAAAAGAAAGTTTACATCAGATGAGCTAGAGGACAATAAGCATGACCTTTAATTTGCACAAAAATCACAACACGACATGGTGAATGCAATTGAACAAACTTGGATTTTTTTTTTCCAAGACAGCATTAAAGATAAATTTTTCAGAACCTACACAATCAATCCTAAGATCAAAATCCATCGTCTTCATCTTGCTTTTAGACTAAAATTTCAACTGAACTCAAATTCCCCTCTCTTCCTAACTTAAACAATCACAGATACAACTAAGCAATTATGCAAACCATAAAGCTCACAACATACGAAAAAGAGAGAGGATAAAGCTAGATTTCACCAAGCACAATATGTAAAGAATTCAAAGCCCCCCCAAACTCATAACAGTACTGATGCAAAACAAAGAGAAGAAGATGCACGTTTGACAACTTGAAGCTATGGGAGAGGACCAAGAACTCACGTTCAACTTCCTCTAATAGCAACTACCTCGTGAATAGATAAAATGCTTATCAAAAGCATACTTGTTAATGTTAGTTTTAGCTTGTTTAAATTTCAATTTCCCCTTCACAATCAACATGTATAACAGCACAGAATGAGTAAAAAAATTTTATCTTCAATTATTAGATGATACACCCACGTGTACAAAATCCATGAGAAGAGTTCAATGTTTCTTGCCTTAATCGGCAATGACAGATAAAGAAAGCAAAATGTAATGACCCAGGAAGTTGAAGTAAAATTAAAATATAGAATAATGTGTTTTAATTATATTTATATTAAGTCTGAAAATATTTTGACAAGAAGCATTATTAGTCTAGTGGGAGTTGTATTGATGATTTACATGTATCAAGTCATGAGTTTGATTCTGGCTGATGCAAAGAAGGATTTTTAATTTGGTTTCAGTTTTGCAAAATTACCAGAATGCCCCTCCTTTTAAAATAAAAGTAACGCACCAGATTTTTCCCTCATTCCTCTTCCTTTTTGTCGGCTGCAACAAGAGAGAGAGATTGAGAGTGCTTCCAGAAATTTCTTCCTCCTCTTTGATCGTCTATCACTAACGAACTTGGGTGCATTGTCCACGGCCACAATAGGTGTTAGGGAGCTCATAAATCCTCTGCTCTTTCTGCTCTATTTGTGTAGCAGTTGTGAGCATTGATGCCATCCTTCTTCTTTCTCTTCTCTACTGTCAGCTTGTCGCCATCGTGGTTAAGCACCGAAGGTACATCTGTCACTTGGGTATGCGTTTCTCTTTCCCTTTGTGCTGCTGACATTCCTCTTCTTCTTCTTCTTCTTCTTCTTTTTCCTTCTTCCGTACTTGACGTCCGGCCCTTCCCCTATTCGGTGTTGCAGAGTCTTCTTTCCTCCTCCCTGTTAGCACGCCCAGAACCTTTTCCTCCTTATTTCTACAATAGTTGAGGTAAGGATCTTGGAGTCTCTTCTCCTTTGCTATTGCTGTGCATGTTTGAAGGCTGGCTGTTCCTCTGTGTGCATTTTGCTGTTGCTGTGCGTGTTTGATGGCTGGCTATGCCTCTGTGTGCGTTTTGCTGTTGCTGTGCGTGTTTGATGGCTGGCTGTTCCTCTGTGTGCGTTTGGCTGTTGCTGTGCGTGTTTGATGGCTGGCTGTTCCTCTGTGTGCGTTTTGCTGTTGTTGTACGTGTTTGATGGCTGGTTGTTCCTCTGTGTGCGTTTTGCTATTGCTGTGCATGTTTGATGCTGGTTGTTGCTCTGTGTGTTTTGCTGTTGATGTTTGTGTTTTTATGGTTTGGGGGGATTTGAGTAAAATGAAATTTGAAGGTTAAGAAAACTTGGATTTGGTTAAAAACTGAATTGATTTGGGTTGCTATCATTGGAGATAAATATGAATTTGGTTTTGCCTTTGAAGTTAAAGCTAAATTTTTCTATGCTAAAGGATGGGATTTGAGAGTGTTGATTAATATAAATATTGATACTTGGAAAATTTTGGAAAGGACATTACAGAGGAAGAAGCTCAGTATTAGTTTGAATTTTGATGCATATGAGATATCCGATAAAATGCTTGAAAGGAAGTCGGAATTAGAAATAGAGATGTTTGAGAAAAATGAAAGATAAGGATTGTTTGTGTTATTTTTTTGAAATTTTTGATAGTGAAGTTGTAGAAAGTCCAATAAAATCCTATTATATGTTATAAGGAGATTGGAAGAGAAGAGAATAGAACTTGACATCATGATTTAATCGATAGTATTTGCAAGGTGTTTGGAATAATACTTGCTAGAAAAATCTGACATATTATGACAAGATTCTTGTGATAGTTGTATTGTTGTTGGTTAAAATGTTATAGAAGACAGTTTATAATGAAAATTGAGACAGAAATTAGAGATTTGTGGAATAGATAATTTGATGGATAATTCAAGAACTAGATTGCCATTGATATGTTAGTTTTTGAAATTTCTAAGGAATAATTAATGCAATGTTTGGAAAAGAAATCTATCTACTGTTATCCTTGAATAAATTTAGGTTGTATATTTTGGATTTGCAGAGTGTATATAAGAGAATGATTATAGTATTATTTGGACAATAGGAATTTAAGGATCTCGAGTTGTTGCAAAAAGGGCTAATTTGGAAGTTAGCGATACGCTTGAAAATCTATTAGGAAAGCGGATAGCGTCCCAACTGATTTTTCAATAAAAATTTCTTTACTAAAATATTACATTTTTATGCAAATCATTTTAATAACAATGATGTGATTGTTGGATAATTTGTTTATTAAATTTCTTTATTTTGTGAAATTACCTTTATTAGTTCTGAAATGTTAGTTAATTACTATATACAAGTTTGGACTTTGATTATGGGATTTCATTTTGAAAATTATTGAATTGCTATGGAAAAACGATTTATGCAAGTTTGACATTGAAAATGGAAATTTTATTTTGAAAGTGATGATTTTCTCACATGTTTGAAAATGAATTTAAAGGGGACTTTATACAGAACACTGGTTGTTAACGGCAGTTTCGTTAGCCCTTGGCGCGTCATGGTAAACGACTAGCTAGTTTGATTTTCATGAGCTATATTCTCACGTTTGTTGTTTGTGGGTCTCATAATCACGTTTGGTAAGCATTACCCTCGTGGACTGTGTGTTCATGTTTGTTTCGTGGTTTTGGTTGCATTTGGTTACTTACCCCCGTGGACTGTGTGTCCACGTTTGTTTTCGTGGCATAACCCACATTTGGTAATTTACCCTTGTGGACTGTGTGTCCACGTTTGTTAATTGTTCTGATAAGTCCCTGTCATATGAATTTGATTATTTGAGTGAGTTTACATTCCATTAATTTTAATTAGTAAATTATTTATAATTATTTATTTTATTTATTTGATTCCTTGCAATCAAGCGATAATAATATTTGATATGATATTTTAATAGTTCAAGATTTTATTTAAAATCTTATAGAATCCTTTTATTTTTTGAAGTTTATTAAATTTTTATAAAAATAGTTGCCTCTTTAAATTGCATAATTGTTTCAAACTTTCCTTTTATTCATATTCAATTATTTATTGTTGGGACGTCATTTAATGGAAAAAAATTTTTTGTCTCTGATAACTTGTACCTTTGTCAAATCATTCAAGGGACTTTATTACTGAGTTAAAGTTGAGATGCTATAATGGTTCATCTCTATTTTCATCTCTAATTTTTTATGTAAAATTTAATTTTGTATATTGTACTTCTATAAATAATGTTATAAGTGCTCCACATAGACTATGGTTAAGATCCTTTTTATGAGGGAGGTTTTGTCAGGAAAAAACATTGAAGCTTTGCTATGACAATTAGTATTAAAAGTGTTAGAAATTTCATATAACCTGATTATTTTATTTAAAAACAAAAAAATGAATTTTCATTTTGAGGCTTACGAAAATGAACGATGTAGTTTGCACCCAGGCCAGTCACCCACTATTTTCGGGGCGTGACACAAAAGGAAGAAGCTAACATAACAAATGAAATAGGGGAGAACAAAACTCATGACTCACACCACCACCAACAGTGAGCCACCCCCTACACTCACGACGATGGACAACTAGAACAGAGGGGGAGGAAGTTCAAATACACCCATGCAACACGAACATCACAATGATTGTTGGGTAATCCATTCTTGGTAGATCAAGCCCAATATGAGCCCATGGGATCTTTATTAGAATATAGAGAAGATTTGGGCTAGAAAATGTAATATACTTTGGGTCAGATGTGCAATTTTCCTTTAATTATTTAAAACTTCAAAGGAAGGAACGGTTTTGCTTCACACATGCACGATCAAAAACCATAACTGGTGTGGGTGGTTTTAACAGCCAAAAAACTTCCAAGCAATTGAGTAGTGATTGAGAATTCGGTCGTTAGGCTCTCTCTCTCGGTTTTTACAAGTGCATTTACTGTGCGTATCCGAAAGAAGTTTGACCTTGTGGCTTTGTTCCCACATATGTCTGTGCAACTCAACCACTATAGGTATGTATTCCTCCTCATAATCTTATATTGGTATTAGAGCGGTTAATTTTTTTGGGCTCCATTTTAACCATATACATGCAAATCTAAAAGTTTAGTTTTTTTCCTTGTGTATTCGCATAATCTACCTTTGTCCATCTTTATGATTATTCTCACCAAAATTAACATGTTTATATGCTTCTTTGTTGATATAAGTGTTTCACATAAGGCTATACACGTTTTGCATGCGATTTGATATACCGAATGTTACAACTAAAAAAATAAATAATGGGTGTTTGAAAATTAATTTTTTTTTGGAAAAAAGGATTGCATAAACGTGTGGAGCTTGAAAAAATAAAGAAAACAACACCAAAAAAGCATAAAATGGAGACTGGACAAAGGAGATATGGTCTTTAAAAGTTTCAAGTCCAACAAACTCGACCTGCTAGAGGAACCAGGTCAAGTTGATCCTGTTGGAGGAATACGACGATAGAAATGATGCGTTGTTTCTATCATCAAGTCGTTTTGATGCATCGTTCAATAAAAAAAATTGGCTTCCCAAAAGCCTTAAAACAAAAATAAAAATAGTTTTGGGCTTACAAGCCCAACCCAAAATAAAAAATTTGTTTTAGGTTGTAGGTCCACAAGTCAGGTATAGAAAACCTAACCTCAATCAAAAAAATATAATAAAATATATATAATTCAAATTTTTAAAATAAAAAATATATATTTGGACATGTGGTCATGAGACTCACTGAGAGACTCAATCGGTGCATGGTTGACCCCATCTAAAAGCTGTCGACATGTGTCATTACCAGAGCACGAGAAGGCGGCGCTTGTGGTGCATGTACCTCCTCCGAGAGTGGAATATTCTACTTTTTAATTTTTTTTTAGAATTTCTTAATCCAGAACTGTTCTTGAGGCGCATGTGAGTGTGTGTGGGACCAGATTGGGACACAGTTTGTCGTAAAAAATTCCTAAATTTGAGATCTTCATTTGGATATACTATTTATCATATTTAAGACAAAATAAGAATTTATTTTTTGAATTATCTAGTGCATTTTATGAGTTTAATAAAAAATTTTAATTTTTTTATTTTTTTAGGCAAGTATGAAGCAAGAGTCTCCTAGCAGCACTGATAACTTAAAATTATTCTATTAGCGTGGAGTATCTAAAAAAATCAGATTATAAACCTCTTAGTGAAGATTCCGACCAGGAACCCTTTGAAAAGGAGAAGGAGGAGTATGAACCTCAAAGTAAGGATTCTGATTCTGATCTTGAAGAAAATTCCAATGTTGATCTCGAAAATGTGCCGGAAGGACTTAAAGAAGTGTGTGTGTTGCTAGGACCAAAATATGAATCAGAGGGTAATGAGAATCTTCAAGATGAAGATGATGTTGGAAATTGTGCCTTAGGGCTAATCATTGTACTATGCATATTGTTATTTAATGAATTTCTCTTTTGTTATCATAAAAATTGCATGTTCAATATGATAACTGTATCCCTGATCAAACTATTAGTCAAAAGTCACATTTGATTGGGTGATCATAAATGCTATGATTGAGTTTAGTGATATTCATGTAGAGGAATATGAGTGGTCAAGATGAAATTTGTCCCTTACATTAAGTAAGAGATATTATTAGGCCCCTCGATGAGTAAGACTGAGAAAATATATGGCCATGCTATAATGAAAAGGGTTTTTTTTATTGCTACTTTCAGTCTACTTAGAGATCGAGAAAGTAATGGTCAGGTAAAGGAGAATGACAATTCCATGTCTCATACTTGACCGAAATATCATGTGACAAAAAGGATGTGATATGGTTGCATGATAGGTTACATTGGATCATCGATCCCCCATGTGAATTAGGTAGTTGCAATGTCTTACTAGAGGCCACTTGTGACTTGTGGGCTAATAGCGTAATTAGTTTATTGCCAATTTCATATGGGGCCTACAGGATCACATACAAAAATAGCCCAACTCGAGCTATTATGCCCAAGTTCATTGAGTTTGAAATATGTCTAGATTCAATGAATGTAATATAGGGTGAATGAATTCTATATATATAAATAATATATATATTTGAATATTTATTTGATAAATATATATATATATATTTATATGAAATATAAAATTCAAAATATAATTATATATATTTTTTGAAAATATATATATTCATATATGTATTATATATATATATATATATATCAGATATATATGATATATGTATATGATATATAAAATTAAATATAGATAATATAATATATATATATATATATATATTTGAAATATATGTGTATATATATAGTCGTGTATATGTGATATATATTATATTATATTATGTTATGTTATATTATATTAGTTTTAAATTTACTTTTATATGATAGATTAAATTTAATAACTAACATGATATGAGAAAATATCATGTTAGTTTTATAATTTGAATTTATAAGATAAATTCAAATTAGATATGATATTATGGATTAAATTTATAAGATAAATTTAATTAAATTTTCATGGGCTTTTAAGTGGAAGACGAAAACCCTTATCTATATGCTATATATAGATAGGGACATCCTTTATGAAGGAGAAGAGAGTTGGAAAAGTTCTGACAGCAAAAACACTTTGAGAGCCACAAAACACCTTATAGAAAGGAAAATTAACGTTCAAAGAAGAACGGATGTTGAGAGCGCTAGCACGCTGTTCGAGTTAGAGAGCTGTTCGTGTGGATACCGGTAGAGGGAGCAGATCTACGTTGTTAGCTCTTAAAATCCAGACTCTTAAAGAGAATGTGCGCCAATTTCAAAGAATTAAAAGGTAACTCTTCTATCCACCTTGACTTAAATGAGTTCTTTGGTCCATATTAGGATAGGAACTTTAAAATTTTAATCTTCCACTGCGCCTCCTTATCCAACAGATGAAGATGTGGAACAACCTTTCACACCCTCAGTGATCATAAATATAGCAAAAAGAGAAGTTAAAAGAATTAAAAAGCTGGATCAAATTTCTCCAATAGTAAGAGCATATTCAAGCTTCATAACAAAAGAAAAACAAGCAATGGTTGTAGGAGAAATTTTCAAACAACTTAGCAAAGAACTTGTGCAACATAACAAGCGAAACAAGTCGTACTTAGGAAATCCTCTATGGAATAGAGCTATCAAGGGGATGAAAGTACAAGAAAAATATAAAGGCATAATTAAGAATTGTCTTTTTAGGTTTGTACCTTAAGTATTTTTCTATTTTTTCAAGAATTTGTTTTTAGTTAAGTTATGTTGTATTAAGACCTTAATGATTTATGATGTATATGAAGCATGTTATTTTATTTTATTTATTGCTTTATATATACTTTGTTTGAATGGAAGCTCTAAAGTGATAAGTCATTTAAGAGTTATATATAACGATTATAAAAAATATTTGTAAAATTTTTTATAAATGATAGTGATTTTATTAGAATCAATGTGATGGGAGATACAAATGTAACCTCCTGATCATTGACTTAATAGAGTTGTTATCACTCTAATAAAGAATAATATAAATATAAGACATTATATGTTTTTCATAAGTATTTTATTCTTGGTTTAATATAGAAAACTATTAATATGAGATAGTTTCGTCTCATAACTAAGAATGACAACAAAAAGCATTATCACTGAATTGAATAAGGGCGACAAATTAAACGAGGATAAGTGGGATATCTGACACCGTAAGATGTCATATTTTGGAAGAACAAGATGCTGTTAAGCCACTGATTGTAGTCATAGCCGAGCATGAGGTGGGAAACTCGGCTTAACATAGGAGTGACCAAGATGCATTTGCAGGATGGAAACAAAAAAATAGCATTGCACAAATAACAACTTCTAAGTACTATGGCGGACGATCTGATGTGAAAATTTAAGAAGCACTCTACTGTCCAGGCCATATGGGCTGCCTTAAAAGAAAAGTTTGATGATACCTTAACCACCAAAATAAGAAAGCTTACAATTAAGTTGGACACATATAAACTAAAACTGAATACTCTTATGCGACAACACTTTAGGGAGATGGCCAATATGATTAGGGGTGAGTGTAACATCCTGATTTTTTATATAATAAAGAAATTGTGGGATTTAGGTTTTGAGAAAAAAAATGATAATAATAGGAATTTATATTATTTGAGGTTATTTAGAAATAATATTATGGTTAGGTATTTAATTATGAATTTAAAAATTTAAATTTAAAACCACATAAGCAATATTTAGTTAAGATATAATACATAAAAATTTTTTTTTATGTATGTGTTGAAAAAAAAAAAGAGAAAGGTAAAAGGAACAAAAAAAAGGGGGTGGAAGGTTGTTGTTTCTAAGTCCCACATTGGTTAGATGAGGGAAGAGAAGAGGTGCCTTCATGTATAAAAAGGAGGGGGTGTGTGCATTAGGAAGTATGAGAGGCTAAGATGCAATTTAGAGAAAATTGCAACTTTTGGCCCAAAGGTTTGAATAATTAAATTCAAACCTATAGTTTTTTTAATATAATTTTGGGACTCACAATCCCATTTTTATATTATTTTTCTCTCTTCCTCTCACGTTGCTCGGCGTTTTCTCACAAGGGGGGATTATTTTCTTTTTCTTCAGGTATGTTCTAACTTTCCTGTTTAGATTAGCATTTAAAAATTTATTTAATTACAAAATTAATTTTATAGTTATTTTCTAAATAATATTAGCTTTCTAGTGATATGATTATTTTGTAGGATAGAGTAAATATTTTGATTAGGATTTTTCTATATGATAGTTAATCTGATGATATGATGGATTAAAAATATAGGTTAAAATTCTTAGGGATATAATAAATATTATAGAATATTTTCTTGAGGTTGAAACTCATGTTTAAGAATTTTTGAGTTAAAATCTAGATCTATATGGTTGAATTTATGTGGAATCTGAGACGTAGGGATAAACCTATGATTATTAAATATTTATTTAAGTATGAATAGGTATTTTTGAGGTTATAGAAAGGTGATTTGAGGCTTCAGGATAATTCTAAAATTTTTAATTTATTTTTGGATGAATTTTTAGAATGTAGAAGGATGAAATTGTGATACTAGAAGTGAATTGAGGATAAAAAAATAGTTCATTAGGGTACGAGAATTTTAGAAAAGAATTTGGGAAGTTAAATGAGGCATAAATCTTAAATTAGTGTTAATATGGACTATAGATTTAAGACTTTCTAACTCTTTAAATTAGAGTTATTTATTTTAATGTAAAATTAATATATAGTATTGTGAAATAATTATGTAGATTATATTGACAAAGATAGTGGTGAAAAAGGAGTTGTGAAGGGGAACTTGTTATTCAAGACACAAGGTAACCATTATTAATGTGTTGTGATGGGTGTGT